TACAAGTTATTCCAGCTCGTAGAGTCATAGGGTCACCTGCAGAACCATCATCTCTCTCAAGTTCCAATTCTTAAGCTATCCATTCCCTTTGGTTCTATTTTTTTAAAGGAAAAAAAAGTTAGATCTTACAGGTATAAAGGTGGGAGGGGGCAACACTGGATCTGAATCTAGACCTTGGAAAAGTTACTTTTCTGCCTAAGGACATGTCCCAAAACCCTGTGCCTTCATTTTAATTGATGTTCATACATATACTAACCTTGAAACATGAAGTTTCCATTTTGATATGAATAGAGCTGGAACAGCCCCTTCCCTAGACCTATTGTCTAGGGAAGGGGTTCCCAACCTTGGGTCCCCAAATGTTCTTGGACTACAACTCCCAGAAGCCTTCACCCCTCGAGCTGTGCTGGCCAGGATTTCTGGGAGTTGCAACCCAAGAACGTCGAGGGACCCAAGGTTGGAAACCACTGCTCTCGGGTTTGGGTTTGGGTTCTGTGACCCATTCCCCACAAACCACTCTTTGAACTCCTCTGTGTGGTTGTTGCATATTACTGTTAAGCCACCTCCAACGTAGGCTGGCCCTTATGAAAGCCCCTCTCTGTACATTAATGAAACATTGACCGGATTCTGGTCGGCAGGGAATCGGGGCCATCCCCGAGGGCTTTGCCTCACCCGCTCCCTGCCCAGTTCCCAACGCTCACCACCGAGGGGTCCGTAGGTGACGATGTAATTGTTCATCTCGGCCAGGGGAGGGTGCCACGTCAGCACAGCAGAGGAATCGGTCACGTTGATGGCTCGCAGGTCGGAGGGGCCATCCGGAACTGCAGGGAAAGAAAAAAAGCCTCCTTAAACAGAGACCTCACCTTGCCGACAAAGGTCCGAATAGTCAAAGCTATGGTTTTTCCTGTAGTGATGTTTGAAAGTGAGAGCTGGACCATAAAGAAAGCAGACCGCCGAAGAATTGATGCCTTTGAATTGTGGTGCTGGAGGAGGCTCTTGAGAGTCCCCTGGACTGCAAAAGGAGATCAAACCTATCCATTCTGAAGGAAATCAACCCTGAGTGCTCACTGGAAGGACAGATCCTGAAGCTGAGGCTCCAGTACTTTGGCCATCTCATGAGAAGAAAAGACTCCTTGGAAAAGACCCTGATGTTGGGGAAGTGTGAAGGCAAGAGGAGAAGGGGACAACAGAGGAAGAGATGATTGGACAGTGTCATCAAAGTGACCAACATGAATTTGACCCAACTCTGGGAGGCAGTGGAAGACAGGAGGGCCTGGCGTGTTCTGGTCCATGAGGTCACAAAGAGTCGGACATGACTAAATGACTAAACAACAACAACCAAAAAAACACCTGCTGCCCCCACCAACATCCGCCACAAAAGGATCCCAGGTAATGGGGAGGCGGGGCAACCAAGGGTGTTTTTGGAACCACGGCATGCCCACGGGTGGACATCACAGAACCACAGAAGAACTGGATGGGAAGGGCCCTCTAAGGCCATCAAGTCCAACCCCTCCCGCAAGGCAGGAATCCAAGACAAAGCAGATCTGACAGAGGGTGGTCCAATGATCTCTTGAAAATTGTCTTTGGCATTGGAGTGCTCGCCACCTCCCCAGGCAATCGGTTCCATTGTCGTACTGCTCTAATAGTTAAGAAGCTTTTCCTGAAGCTCAGCCTAAATCTGGCATCCTGCCATTTAAACCCATGGTTACCTGCCTTGCAATCTGGGATAGCTCAAAAATCCAACTTCCCTACACTCTTTCTTTCTTTACTCGTATCATGCAATTTAAAATCATGGATGTCTATGAAACAGAGGTAAAGTTATAAACAAATCAAAATAGTAAGATATAGCGGTGCCTCGCTTAGCGATCGCTCCGTTTAACGACGAAATCGCTTAGCAACACTGTTTTTTGCGATCGCAAAAGCGATCGCTTTGCGATGTTCTCTATGGGGAAAATTTGCTTTGCGATGATCGCAGGGAAGTGATCATCACAAAGCCCCCATTTCCGCACAGCTGATCGGCGGTTTCAAAATGGCCACCGGAAAAAAAACATGGCCGCCCTCTGTGTTTAGGGAATGATTCCTCGCTTTAGAGGCAGCAAAAATGGCCACCGTATGGTTAGTTTTAAGCCCATAGGAATGCATTGAAGGGGGTTTCAATGTGTTTCTATGGGCTTTTTAATATCGCATAGCGACGTTTTCATTCTGCAGCGATTTTTGTGGAACGAATTAACGTTGCAATGCGAGGCACCACTGTAATTAGACTATTTTTGATGAGAAGTGGGTGATGTAACTACCTCTGCTTTAAGTAAATGATCAGGACTAACAACAACAACAACAACAAAAACCTAAGCTCCCCAGACCCTGGCATTACCTGTGGTGACATAGCCAACCAAAGGTTCGCTTTCCTCAAAACCACGGATAGACACGACAGTGACCTCATAGCTGGCCCCAGGCGTCAGATCTTCGATGGCGGTCCTGAGTCTGGATCCATTCACAGCGATACTTCTGGGCTCTCCTGCAACAGTAGAAATGGACTCAGATCTTTGCATGGGCTCGATCTTGGATAATGGTTCCCCCACCTTGGGTCTCCAGGTGTTCTTGGACTACAACTCCCAGAAATCCTGGCCAACACGGCTAGTGGTGAAGACTTCTGGGAGTTTTAATCCAAGAACCTCTGGGTTACCAAAGGTTGGGAGCCACTGATGTCGGGCATTGCTCTTCAACCGGTTAGTGCTGGCTGGAAATTAAGGTGCCAAAGCTTTAGCTGGTCACCAGGGCATATTAGAAGGGGCAACAAGCAGACAGGCAGTCTAGCAGCTTAGGCATCCTGCCCACTATTGATCTTTCTAAATAAGCAACTCTGGTTTCTCTTCGGATCGTATAAATAGTTTGCCTTTTAACAAATATTTTAAGGTTAATTTCCTCCCTAACTGTACAGGCCAGTTGGCCACTGTCCTTCTGTGTTAAAAATAGAAGTGGCCAAACACAATAGATTTTTGTCTCTGTGATGCCTCCTGCTATGCCTAAAGTCAGTTTTAAGGGCTTTCTTTTAACACATCCAGATTCTGTTTTTTAAAAAAATTATCCTGTCCTACCAGGATATCCTGGAACAATAAATGTCTGTAGCATTGACTCATCCACAATTAGGGCATCCCTCAGCCTCAGGCTGTAGGCAGTAATCCCCTTCTGACTTGCTTGAGATAGAAGGTCTCTCTTTGTCTGCGTGTCTGAACATTTGTTTGCTCGCCTGAATCTGTGTGTGTTTGTGTAAGCAGGCCTGTGCCGGTAGGTGTAAAATAATACCCACTTTGGCACACAATTAATTGCCTTCTGTAGCTGCTTCCATTTCATAGCATAACCATTAAAAATAATAGAGGCAAAAACTGACCAGAAGTGGGTGGACTGTAAAAAAAGTACAGTAGGACCCCTTTACCTGCGGGATCAGTATCTGCTGATTTACTTATCCACAGTTTGAAAATATTAAAAGATAATTCCTTGAAAAATATATTTCAGAACTGAGCACTAGAGGGAGCCACACACCATGCTACCCTGTTTCCCTGAAACTAAGACCTAACCCGAAAATAAGCCCTAGTACGATTTTTCTGGATGCTCGTAATATTGACTAAACGACTAAACACACACACACGATTTTTCTGGATGCTCATAATATTAAGCCCAACCCCCAAAATAAGCCCCAGTTCAGTGAAACCCTGCCCTCCACCCTTGTGCAGCAACCAGAAGATGATGACAGGACTGTATTTGAATAAATGTAGATTGTTGTACATGAAAAAAAAAATCATCCCCTGAAAATGAGCCCTAACACGGTATTGAAATAGCGTTCACTATTATCCGCGCTTTTCAGCATCTGGGGAGGCGTGGAACTTATCCCTTGCAGATACAGTTCACTATAATCCGTGTTTTTCAGCATCCGGGGAGGCATGGCACTGATCCCTTGCAGATACGGGGGTTCTACTGTACAGCTACCACATGTATATACAGGGTTTGGAAATAATTACTTTTTTTGGACTGCATTTGGCAGAATCTCACAGTTACTATGGTCAGTCATCTGTGCCATTGTGAGAAATGTTGTCCAAATAAGTAATATTTAGCACCAAGTAGATCTTATTTTTTAAAAAAGTACATTTGGGGTGTAAGCTTTGTGTGTGTGTGTTTGAAATTACATAGTCCACCAGTGATGCTGGACTATCACAAGAGTAGGCAAGATCCAGGATTCAGGGGTTCGGTGCCTGTACAGGGCATAGCTTTCATCGGGACGGTTTTCTGCAGTCCTTTGGGCCCCACAAAATGGTCAGAGCAGGGGGTGACGCGTGGCCCCTCCAAACTGGGCAATTCCCACCCCCTCAACTACAGAATGGACAGCTAGTTGGTAAGGCAAAGCCACTAGGGAACGGGGGGGGGCAGATATATAGATTCTCTCTCTAACCTCCATCGGAGGGCTGGACGGAGACTTTGTAACGGTCGATGCGAGAGGTCGGCGGTCTCCAGTTCGCCACGACAGAGGTCTCCCGAATGTCGCTGAACCTCAGATCTCGGGGGCTGTCCAGCTCTGGAGGAAGAGAGAAAGAGGGTGCTGAACTGGTGTCGCTCCGTCTCTCGAGCAGTGGAAGGAATTTACCGAAGAGGCCAGAGAGAAATTCAGAGGTAGGGATGGGAAAACTTCAGCAGCCTTTCATCAATACTGCTGGACTCCCAGCAACCATCACCATGAGGAGAGCACCAGTCCAATAACATGGGAACTGTAGTCCAAGAGGACGTGGGATACCCAACGTTGGGAACCACTGCTCTAAAATGCGGAAAAGTATAACCAAATCAGCCAAACATGTTTTGAAAGTCTCCATGAGTAGCTCTTCCTTTGATCGCCATGTCCTGTTGCTCAGTGATTTAGGAACTATGCACAGGCCACAAAACATTGTTGTTTCATTCATGCTGACCTGCTCCTGACAAACATAGTGACTTCAGGCTGAATATTTTATTTTATTTGCTCTCCATCTCCAGTCTTTCCACCAACAGACACACCCAAAGCAACAAACTATAATAAAAAATATAGATTAGAAATAAGTCTGTAATCAAAAGAGGACAGAAACGCATGCACAAGTAAACATACAACTTAAAAATGCCACAGGACACTCTCAGCACACAAATGTGGATTCGTTTCTACGTCGAAGGGCGGCTTGAATGAAAACGTTATGGGCTTGTGGGTGAAAGGAAGACGGAGGGTGAAAAACCTGCAAATCTCTAATGGTCAAGTGGAACTCCGACATGACGCGGTCGTAGCGAGAGGCTCGGAGCGGTGGCGAGTGCAAAACACAACCCACACGTTGGCCTTTGCGCCGCTCTGGCTTGCGGCCTGCCTGTGAAGCCCTCCCTCCCTTTCTCCTGGGATTTACCACAGCCAGTTGTGGCTGAGCACAAAGGAAACAGAGAAGAGCCAGAGATTAATTCCTCGGGTTTCACAAAGGAAACCAACATTGGACACCCGCCCGGCCTCGACGCCAAGCCAAACTCGGGACGCGCAGCTGTCGGAGGGCTCGCTTGGCTTTCTGCTTCCCCAAAAGATTCAGCTCAGATCCTTCATCACGCTGGCTTTTTTGAGCTCAAATCCTGGCAGCCCCTTCAAGCGGAGATGATGAACTCACAGAGCGAAAAGATTCATCACGGAGGCAGCTGCTTACTCGTAGGTTGGAGGGGATGATGAACACTGCTTTTGGGAATGCACTCCAGAGGGGGGCTGTGGCATTCATCTTTTTACTTTGTTTGTAGTAAATCGTGAGGCCAAGCTGAAACTGGAGCCCTCCCTGTCCCCTCCAAGTGTCCCCCCAGGACAGAATGACAAAATGGGAAGGAGTTACTATTGGCGTCAAAGATTTTTGGGAAGCCGTTGGGGTAGGGGAACGAAAGCCACCATTTTCTAGCTGCGGGGAAGCGCGCGCCCTGTAAACATGGCTGTTGTTGCTGAAATGCCTCTCCCGTGAAATCAGGCAATGGCTCCCTGTTTCATTTGGCTCCACTTCCCCAGTTTCAAGTGAAGCGTTCTCAGATCCAATAATCTCTTCTCTTGGGAAAACTAACCTCTTGCTCCGCCAGCCCTCTGCCTCCTCCTCACGTCTTCTCTCCATTTCTTCTAGCATTGCCTGCACGGGATGCTTGTGTCGTCCCAGGCCAAAGTTCTTGGTTCTTACCTATCAAGTCCTCGTTACTTTTCAGAGCTTCTTTCCCTAAAGACATCAGCCCGCCTCACCCAACCCTTCCAAAGGCTGTGCTCCTTTGGACTGCCACGCCGAGGGAGGCCAGGAAGACCTCTGACTAGGAACGGGTCCTTCTCGGTGGTGGCCCCGTCCCTATGGAATGGGCTCCTGGTAGAGGCTGCCCCCAGCCCCCTCCCTTGCAGCAGTCCAAGAGGATGCTGAAAAGGAAGCCTTGGACAGCATCCTCTCTCTATTTCTTAGTGTCTTGTTTGAGAATTACTTTATCTTTATTTTACTTTGGATGTAACCTGCCCAGAGTAGTCCCTAGCACAAATCGGATGGTATACAAGTTAAACAAACAAAGAAACAAACAAATAAATAGTAACACTTTTTTCCCTTGCAGCAGTCCAAGAGGATGCTGAAAAGGAAGCCTTGGACAGCATCCTCTCTCTATTTCTTAGTGTCTTGTTTGAGAATTACTTTATCTTTATTTTACTTTGGATGTAACCTGCCCAGAGTAGTCCCTAGCACAAATTGGATGGTATACAAGTTAAACAAACAAAGAAACAAATAAATAAATAGTAACACTTTTCCCCTTCCAAATTCACAGTGGGGTGAAACTTCCTACCTCAACATCTAAAAGGCTTTATCCTTTTCCTGTAAGAACTGCCCTGATTTGTTAGCTGAAGGGTTTATTTTAAGGTGCTGCATGACAACACAGAAAGCTACCCAAATAGCAAGGGAGGTGGGCTCATGAGCAAAAGGGAGAGCCATATTTTTTAACCCTCCCCACGCAACATGGATGCTGTTTTCCCTCTGCTCAACATTGCCGATTGGTGTGAATCTCATGCAACGTACACGTGCTTTGATCATGGCCAGATGGCACATTGCAGACAACCCATCCTTAGAGACAGAATCCTGTTAGTACAATATAGAGGGTGGCAGTTGTAAAGGAAGAATGTACTAAATCAGAGGAAAAGAAGAAAGAAAAGCACCCGCTGGGACAATCACACACCGTCCGTACTTAAGGATTTCCCTCTTCTCATGACTGATTATCTATTATGTATAGCTTAGTTCACCGGCTGGATAGCTCAGTGATTTAGCAATCTGGTTGCAAAGCCACAGACTGAGAGTTCGATTCCCCCCCTGGGCCTCCTCTGGTTGCAGAGCCACAGACTGGGAGTTCGATTCCCCGCATATGCCTCCAGGGAGAAGAGCCAGCCTGGGTGGCCTTGGGCAAGCTGCACAATCCCAGGGCTCCCCCTAGAGGAAGGGAAGGGTAAACCGTAGGTCAGAATTGACTTGTTGGCCCATGGTTATTGTTACAGTGTATTTCAGAGACTTGTTTTGATTCTGGCTTTCTAACAGCAAGGTTGCCCATGTGGCCTTCTTACCGAGCCCACTGGTCCTTGCTCCTGTGTTGATGTTGGCCACTTCCGACCCGTCCCGGATGCCATAGACCGTAAGGCTGTATTCGGTGTTGGGTGTCAGGCCACGAAGGACCGCGGAACGCTTGTCCCCGGGCACGGCCACTTCCTTGGCAGGCGGAGGGCTCCTCCCGCTCCCCAGAAGAGACTCCTTGGATCGGACCAGGAAGGAATCCACCTCTCCTTCTGAGACCTTCCAGGTGAGCTGCAGAGAAGTGGGCGTCACCTCGGAGACAACCAAGTGATCGAGCAGGATGGCGGCTGGCTTACTCTCGGCATCGGGGAAAGCTACGGGAGAGGAAGAAGAGGGATCGATGGATGAACAGGGCCTCCAAGGGCCAGTAAGGCTCCCACTCTCATCAGGAGGATGCACCCAAGTGTCCAAAGATCTTACCTTCAGGCAGACATGGTTAGAATCAAGGGGGGGGGAATGAATAACCCAGAAAGAGATCTTGGGGTGCATGGCGGACATGCCAACCCAGCATTACCCCAGTTGTGAAAAAAGTAAACTACAGTAGTGCCCCGCATAGCGACGTTAATCCGTTCCAGGATTAACGTCACTATCCGGATTCGTCGCTATGCGGGGGAGACCCATAGGAACGCATTAAACTCCGTTTAATGCGTTCCTATTTGGGAAAAACTCACTGCTAAGTGGGAATCCTCCATAGGGCCGACATTTTTGCCACCTTGGTAAGCGAGGAATTGGCACGAAAATGCTGCGGGCGGCCATTTTGTTGATCCGGCGGCCATTTTGGAACCGCCGATCAGCCATTTTCTAAATATCACAATGTGAAGATCAGTAAGCGAAATGCTTACTGATCATCGCAATGCGATGTTTTACTACCTAAAATATCGCAAAAAAGCATCACTATGCGGATTCGTCATTAAACGGTGCGCTCGTTAAGCGAGGCACCACTGTACAGCCAGGGGATTATTATTATTAGGATAAGGGCAATGCCAATGAACTGCAAGGGGACAGGGTAGAAATGTTAACACTTCTGCAATAACAGAAGCTCTGATCTGAAGCGGATTACTACTTTCCCCAAACTGATGTAAAGTCAGGCCCTATAATTAGGCAGAGAAAGGCAGAAAGGTGTTCAGCTGCCAGTCCCGTCGAGTTTTGGACCAGGGACACGGTATGGAAGGGGTTTCTTCTCTTTCTTCAATGGCAATGCGTCTTGGACTGATCCCGCAAAAGTGCTGTCCTGGGTCTCAGCCACCCACCCCACGGGACGGACATCTTGCTTGTACGGCTCCCGTTTCTCATCTCACAGTCTGTTCTTTTAAACTCTAGCCTGTTCTGAGGCTCTGCGCAGGCGCATTTAAGAAACCCATAGGTGTAATTCACGGAGGCCACGAAGAAGAACATAAGGTACCACCCTGTGGCCGATGATTGCTTTATTTCATCTATTGAAAATATTGATATGTCGCCTTTCTCTGAAAAGAGGCAAGTCAGCTTACAGCACAGTAAGATTCCTCCTGGGGATGTTAAAAATGCGGATTATAGCGAATGCTATTATAACAGGGAATGCTACATATAGCATAGTCCCTGGCTTCCTCTGTGGCTAGTTCTGGTAACTCCATCTTTAGAAACACATATATTTCTGGGAATTTTTTTAAAAAATATATTTTTAATATTTTCAGACTGTGGGTAAGTGAATCAGTGGATACTGATCCCATGGATATGGGGGGGGTTTCCTACTGTATTAAAATAAAACAAATTAAAAGCTAAAATAATAAATCATTACAATATTAAAACAGAATTAAACAAATATATTTAAACTTATGAAAACGAACAATGTTAAAAAGACAAGTAAAATAATAAAATGCAACAATCTTAAACAACCCCCTTGGTCATTTTTGTACCAAAAGCTCTGTGTGTGTGTGTGTGTGTGTGAAGACAGCAGAACTCTTCCTACACCTTTCTGCAGTTTTCCCCCTTCCTGCTGATTTGTTCTTATCCTAGTTTTGATACTGTGAGAACTTGAATTTCTGAGAACATCAGAAATCTAAAATTTGAGGCCTTCTGGGAATGTGAGGCCCAGCCTGAATGGCTATCTGGCCACACACCCCCTTTTTTATCATTCCCCACTCTCCCATTCTCCTTTTTGCTGTTCAAACCAGGCACGTACAACTTTTTGTTTTCACGAGATCCAAGTTAGATGTGGCACTTAAAACAGCCAGTGTCACATCTCGTATGAGACACTAGGCAATGTCCTGAGTCATCCCTATTTGGAGAAAGGTGCTGTTAATGTGTCTGGTTTGAACCCCAATAGGGGGGCATTTGGGGCTGCTGATAAATGGAAGCCAACACAGATTCTCCTGCTGTGTTCTTGTTTCCCATCTGTCTGCATCGTCTTAGGGATGGCCTTGAAGAAGAAGAAGAAGAAGAAGAAGAAGAAGAAGAAGAAGAAGAAGAAGAAGAAGAAGAAGAAGAAGGAGAAGAAGGAGAAGAAGAAGGAGAAGAAGGAGAAGAAGGAGAAGAAGAAGAAGGAGAAGAAGAAGAAGAAGAAGGAGAAGAAGAAGAGGAAGAAGAAGAATTTACAGAACACGAGACACTTGCCTCATTTATCAAATGATTTAGCAACTGCCGATGCTAGCACTTTTATTTTTACCCTGTGTGTTTATACCAAACATAAGCGTCCAGGGCTGTCAGGGGCTTGCCTTGCGCCATTAATCTCTCTCTCTCTCTCTCTCTCACACACACACACACAACTGATGAGTTCAGGCTGTTGCTCTAAGCCAGTTTCTTTCATTTGGGAAGCCAAGGGGGAAAAAAGGAGATGAACCCAAAGTCAGATCTCTTTATGCTCTGAATGAACTGCAGTGAGGACCAAACTGGATTGTGATGCTCAAGACATTTTTAGAAACCAGAGGATAGGAAGGGCAGGATCTCTTCTCAATCATCCCAGAGGGCAGGAGACGTAATAATGGGCTCAAGCTATAAGAAGCCAGATTTAGGCTGGATATCAAGAAAAACTTCTTAACTGTTAGAGTATCGCGACAATTGAACCTATGGGGTCGGGAGGTGCTGAGTGCGACAACGCTGGAGGCATTCAAGAGAGAACTAGACAACCAGTTGTCGGATCTGCTTCGGTTTGTATTCCTGCACTGAGCGGAGGGATTGGGCTCAATGGATATATCAGCCCTTCCCAACTCAATTATCGGTCTATGATTCTATGAAGGTCTTTTTCTTTTTCTTTTCTGGACTACAACTCCCTGTAACTAAGGGGATTCTGGGAAGGTGAAGTCCAAAAATATAAACTTTTCCACATTTTGTTAGAAACTACATCAGTTTCCACCACCCCCCTCATGATTTTCAATGGAAGGACAACATTTGAGGAGATCGGACCCTTCCCGAGCAACGATCTCAGATATAAAATACCTCTTTCCTGGGTCATCATTATTAGCAAAAGTTCCCTCTGTGCCCTCCTCACATGAACAATGCAGGGTGCGGGTGTTTGTGTGCACAAACTTGCGTGCTTTCACTGCAGCTGGGGAGGGAAGGGTTAAACCTCTTCTCTTGGACAGAAATCCAGCTCCCACACTCTGATTTATTAACATGGGGAGGGGGTGATGGAGAGAAACCCTGATATCGTTCCTAATGACGCATTTGGCATGATGTCAGCCTTGACCCTTGAAGCCTGACCTCCTTGTCAAGATGGATGATCCTTCTCACTTGGAAAAACAAAGAGGTGCCGTGCAAACATCCTTTCCCCCTGGCCGGGTGGGGAGAAACGGAAGCCTTCCCTTGCCTTGCTGATCTTTGGAAGGGATGGACTGCAGCTCCCATCATCCCCTCCAGCATGGAAGGCATCCAACCCCGGAAAGGGGTGTTGCTTGGCTGAATGCGAGTAATGAGAGCCAGAGTGTTTTTTTCTCTGTACCTGTTGGATTAAGCCTGTCTGGAACTGGGGACCCCCTCCGGTTTTCTCCTCCACCAAGCCAAAGAACTCCCTGGGTGACCTCGGGCCAGGCTCAGGCGCTTGTTGTGGGGATAACGTGGTACGGAGGAGAGACAGGTAGGCTGCCTCTAACTCAGAGGAAACGTAAGATACAGACGGCTGGATAGCTCAGAGATTTTGGTATCTGCCTGTGAGGCCAGAAGTTGGGAGTTCGATTCCCCCACTGGATCTCCGGGAGGAGAGCCAGCCTGGGTGGCCTTGGGGCAAAACTGCCAAGTCCCAGGGCACCCCTAGAAGAAGGGAATGGGAAACCATCACACCCTCGGATCAAATACTGGGATCTGTGTGCTTCGTCCACAGTGCTCAAGGTCTGCTGACTGTGGACGGGCAGCTTCAAGGCCCCTGTTCTCCCTCCTTGCAGCCGGACAGCTGACGGGGCTCTTCCCTACCAGCCCTTCCCACAAAGGACTGCCCTTTGTACAACAACCCAGCCACCCTAATCATCGACGCCTGTTGGCTGAACTGGTGCAGTCGGCTTCCAACACCCAGACTGGCAGCCATCCGACTGCCTCTCCCTCTAGCTTAGGTAAAGGTAAAGGTTCCCCTTGACATTTAGTCCAGTCGTGTCCGACTCTAGGGCGCGGTGCTCATCCCCGTTTCCAAACCGTAGAGTGAGCATTTTTGTCCGAAGACAGTTTCCATGGTCACATGGCCAGCACAACTAGACACGGAACACTGTTACCTTCCCACCGAGGTGGTACCTATTTATCTACTTGCATTTACATGCTTTCAAATTGCTAGGTTGGCAGCAGGTGGGACAAGCGATGGGAGCTCACGTGGATTGGATCTTACGACTGCTTGGTCTTCTGACCCTGCAGCACAGGCTTCTGCGGTTTAACCCGCAGCGCCACCACACTCTAGCTTAACATTACCTCATCTCACGTCCTCCAGAGAGGTGGGACTAGTACTCCCATAATCCCCATCAAATGCTGCAGGGCACTAGAGGGCACACAGTGGCTCTTCAGCAGCCCTCCTTAATTTTTTTCTGGGGGAAAAATGAGGAAGGCTTGAAAAGTTGAAGAAGAAGAGGAAGAAGAGGAAGTAGTAGTGAAACAAGAAGGATAAAATGAAAATAAAAGGCACGGAGTCGATATAACATTTTGGAAACGCAAGACTAAGAGCACTGCCCACTCGGGGTAATCCTGGGAAGGTGTAAAACTTGAGTGAGGGGTGATTTTTGGGGGGTGGGGGAAGATGATGAAGGACTGCTCACCTGTGACTGCATCAATGGAGATGGGGCCAAACCTCTTCCTTTCAGAGAGGCCGTAGAGGTTGAACTTGTATCTGTGGGATGGGATCAGGTCAGAGATGACGACTGTGCGAGCGTCCGCCTCCACAGGGATGCTCTGGGGCTGTCCTTCAGCATCTTTGTACAGGATGAGGAAAGAGTCAAAATTCCCGGCGGAGATGGTCCACGAGAGGCGAACGGAGTCCTGGGTGACTTCTGAGATGGAAAAATCACCCAGCGTCGGCTGGATCTCGGGTTGCTTTACTTCGGCTGGAAGAGATAATGGGAAGAGATGCCATCAGGCCAAGGCAGGGCAATTCAGGATGGCCTCGTTTGAGTTACCGCAACCTTGCACGCTGCCTTCAGTAAATATGGTCGGGAGGGACCTTCCTCTGATTTCTTAGAATCTTCGAGCTGGAAGGGACCCTCAAGGTCATTAAGTCCAGCCCCTATCAAGGCAGCATGGTGGGGAACTGAACTCCCAACCTTTGGCTCCACACACAGATCCCTAAAGCAGTGAGCTATCCAGCATTTCAAAGAGAGCCCTGCCAATCTGCTCTGATCTTTTCCCCTTCTGTTGTCTGTTGGAAGCAGCCAGTCTGTTGAGGCCTGTGGCTGCAGTCAGACACGTTGCTAGCTTGCTGTTATCTGTTCACTGTAAGTAAATGAAATGTTTCCATTCTCTCTCCCACTGTCTCAGATAGTAATGTGACTGTAAGTGACAGTAGATGAGAACAAAGGGTGGACTGCTCCGGGGGAACTTGCAGCTATTCTGCTCTGTGAGTCCTTGCGCTTCTGCTACATGGCTAGAGGAATTTGACTAGAAATTTAATTTAATCCTCAACAGGCCTCGGGGTGCTCCTCAGGCTAGTTTCAGAAGCTCCCTGTGACCTTTTAAGTTTTGACCTTTGTGACAATTGATCCATTCCTGTCTTGGCAGCCCATTCACGGTGAGGGAGAAGGAATGAGAGAGGAAATGAAAAGAGGACGGAGAAAAATAGAAAAATGGGGTTCAAGGTATACCCAAGGTATTCTGGGTCTCTGACCTGTGACTGCTTCAACCGAGATGGGGCCAATGCGCTTTCGCCCAGAGATGCCATAGAGGTTGAACTTGTACTTGTGGGAAGGCACCAAGTTGGAGATGATGACATAGAGCACATTTCTGCCCACTGGAAACGCCTGGGGTTTGCCTTCCGCGTCCCGGAACTGAACGATGAAGGAATCAAAAATCCCAGTCAGGACGCTCCAGGACAGACGAACGGATGTGTCGTTGATGTCAGAGGCTGAGAATCCCACCAGACTGGGCTGTGGTGGAGCTACCCTTTCTAAAGGAGCTGGAAATAAGGAAAAACATGATTTATTTATAAATAAACTGAAACTTGCTTTGCTAAAGCATGTCACAATTAGAATGAGGCCCATTTGAATCAATGAGGCCTATGGAAGAAGTAATTAATCAAATCCCCATTGATTCAATGGGCACACTCTAGTGCAATTTACTACTACACTAAGCGGCAGGATTTTGGCTAGTGTTAATTAGTGCACTGTAAAACTTGTGTTTGACTCTCCACCTTTTCCATTTAGCAAGTTCATATGAGGTTAGCAATGATTGAACACACTTCAGATCTGCACATCAAATCCCAATCACTACTGTTATGAGTGGAAAATTATGCATATGAAGGTATTGTTGGAGTTCTTACAACCTCACATGCTGCCTCTAGGAGGCGTGGCCGAGAGGGATCTTTTTGAGATGGGGTAACTGTCAATCACAACAGCATTTGCCAATAGTTCTTTCCCTGCCTGATTCAAAAAGAATTCTGGCCCTCTACTCTGCCTCTTTCTCCCTCCTCTCCTCAGTCTTTTGGAAGCAGTTAGTCTGTTTAGGCCTGTTGTTCAAAGCAGTCATGTTTTAGTTTGTTTTATCAGTTCACTGTAAGTAAATGAAACATTTTGTTTGTTTTTCTCTTATTAATGTCTCAGCCTGTAAGTGCCAGTTAATGAATAAAAGGGGGGGGTCTGCTCTGGGGAACTTGACACTAATTCTGTCTGTGAATCCCTGAACTTCTCATGCGCAGTTCGAGGAATTTAACTAAAATTCAAAACTCTGGAACAGGTGTAGTCAAAAACAGAAAGTTCTGTATGAAGACACTTTGTGCTCGCAACCATGTGTTTTTGTATTTTTGTAGGAGATTTAACTTCTGGAAGGACCATAATCTCAGGTAGCAAAGCAAAGGGCATTCAAGATGATGAAGACTGAACAATAAAAACTGCCTATTGAAACAGCATGGGTGGCAAAGACCTCTCTCTTCAGGCAAACCTTTCCTTCCTGAGAGGGCTTTTTAAATAGGTTGTTGTGCTCCGTTGTTTTAAATGTTTTTTTAGTATTGATTTTATTGACTGTTTTGAATATAATACTTGTTTAATTCTTTCTAAATATTTGTATACTTATTGTTTTTAGCTTTGGAATATTGTCTTTGCGATGATGTAAGCCACCCGGGGTTATTTTTTTAAGGAGAAAAGCGGGATAAAAATATTTTAAATAAGTAATAAAAACAATAAATCAGATTCAGGGGAGGCTCTTTTTTCTGTGAATCCACACTGAGTAAGGAAAGATCTGACGACACCCTAAAGTGCCCCCAAAACATGAAAAACAGCAGGAGAGCCCAACGCTGGTGGAGAAATCCCTTTCTGTCCTAGAAAGAAAACACACCATGAAAAGAGAAATGGTGCCCCCCCTGGGGGGGGGTCATGGCTGACCTGTGACAGCCTCCGTGGAGATGGGCCCGAACCGTTTTCGTCCGTAGACACCATAGAGATTGAACCTGTACCGGTGGGAGGGGACCAAGTCATGAAGCCGTAGTGAACGCATGCTCCCGTCCACAGGCAAAGCGTGGGGCTTGCCCTCGGCATCACGGTACTGAATGATAAAGGAGTCGAAATTCCCTATTTCCACCGTCCAAGACAGGAGGACAGATTCGGCCGTGATGTCCTGGGCCGACAGCTCTCCAAGCCGGAGAGGAGCTCTTTTCTCTGGCTGAGCACGAGGTCCTGGAACACAAGAGGGGAGAATGGGTTGAAGAGGGGTCTGAGGAGCACTGGCTGTGAAGAAGTGGCGCCAGGGGAACAGGTAAAGGAGAAATGGTCAGAAAAAGCCCATGTGATCCCCTCCAAAAAGCATCGGAATGGAAGAGCAGGTGATAACTTCATTGGACCACTTCAAAAAGAAATCAAGCCAACAGCGGACAGCTAGCTTTCTATGATAAATTCATCTTCCTCAGGCTGTGCCTCCAGATCTCGCGGATAGTTCAAATCATTAGAGTCCCAAAGTTTCTCAACCATTGTTCAGTGATCAAATTACGTAGCAAAGGAGGAGGCCCGGGGGCTCACTTACCTCAACAGCGATCTGTTTTCACTGGGAAATTTTACAGCACAAGAGTTTATAGCAGGAGCACAAGGAAACAATGCAAATAATAGAAAATATCTACAAAGTGTTATTTCTTGATGATGTTTTTAAAAAGTAAAAAGAAAACAATATAGTTCCTTGAAACATAATGTAATCTGGTGATTAAAAGATTTGCTTTAAAAAAGAGCAAGATTTCTGAAATGAGGAGAAGAGTTGAGCAGAAGGATCTTCATCAGCACAGAAAGAAGACGGCAACCTTTTTGTTTTAAAAAAATGTGGTTAGGCACATTTTCTGTGACTTTGAAATGCATTTGAGTTGGCGGCAAACCCACTGAGCGACTGTATTAATTACAGGATGTAAACCCGTTCTTTAATATTTCTATTTCTTTTATTTTTTTTCCCTTCCTTTAAAAAAATTCTTAATATGAAACAACCAAAATACAGGCGGCCTTTCCAAACACACCTTTAGGAAGGCACTGCTGTGAATCCTGGAAGGTGACCCTAAGACTGCAAAGGTCCTTTTCTGGGTCAAAGCCGGCTCCCATTTCTCACAGTAGACAGACAGTGACCCATAAAATGACCCTGGGAAGCCCGTAAGGGGGGATGTGAAGAGGACAGGCCTCCTTCTGCTTTGTTCCCTCTAATGCTTGAGGTTGCATGAAGCCACTATGACAAATAGCCATGGATAATCTTAGCTTCCATGAGTCTGTCTTATCCTCTTTGAAATCTTTCTCAGGCAGTAGCTAGTGGCTAGTCTGAGATGGGAGAGGGAGGCTCCCTCTCAAAGTTTGGAGTAAGGTGCCACCTCGCTCACACTTTGGGCTGCCTCCCCTGGCATTACACCTTGTGGCACTGAGTTCCACAGTTGAATTCGGTGGTACACAAAGAAGTGCCTCCTTTTATCTGTGCCGAATTACCCACCAAGCACCACAATACGGTCACTGTTGTTACCCTAAGAAAAAGTTTGGCTTGAGAAAGAGGAACCCCTCACAATGCAGATTTTGTCCCCCCTGACCTGTGACAGCATCCGTGGAGATCGGACCAAGTCGCTTGGGCCCGCTAATGCCGTAAAGGTTGAACTTGTATCTGTGAGAAGAGGCCAGGTTGGGGACTGTGACATCACGGGAGTCCCCGTTGAGGGGCACCACCTGGGGTCTTCCGTCCGTGTCTTTGTACTGGAGTAGGAAAGAGTCAAAATGCCCAGCGGGGACGCTCCACGACAGGCTGACAGAATCGCTGGCGACCTTAGAAACCGACAGATCTCCAAGTTGGGGTTGAACGGCCGCTTCTTCTTCCTGAGGTGGTTCTGGAGCTGGAAAAGGAAAGAGAGAGGATGATGGAGGTATAGAAGAAAGGAAAGCCGGTTCTGGTCACAAGCTGTAGGAAGCCCTAAAAAGGGGAAATTTAGAAACAGCAAATCAAATATCTCTCAGCTGGAAGAAAGCCAATGCAAGACGCCAGCCTGGTTCCAAGCCTGAATGTTGTTGGACTACAGTTCCCAGAAATCCTGGCCAACACAGCTAGAGGGTGAAGGCTTCTGGGAGTTTGAGTCCAAAGTCATCCAGGGACCCAAAGTCGGGAATTCCTGTGTTAAGAGTGAATAAGGAGCAGAAGACACTAGCAGGGTATTGTGGCAGGGTTTGCTGAGGATGGTAACAATTGCTCTTTTTTTCCTCTCTCCAGTAGACAAATCTGAGTGGTTCAGACCAACCTTCTAGAAACAGGTGCCCTTGGTTGGCCTTGGACTACAACCCCTATTGTCCCCAAGGAGCAGGGCTATTGGTATCAGGCAGTGGAAGGCTGCCTTTGGTCATGTAATTTTTTTAAACTGTACTCCCGTAAGGAAATATGGGTCCTTTCCCAAAGCGTATCAGAGCTTCTTCAGTGAAAAGATGGGTTTTGGTGGGAAACCTGTCCAGACACCAAGGCTAGTTCACTGCTATAGGGCTGCTCTTGGGGAGCATCTGGGGGGCATTCCAAGCTGTCAATACTATCCCTGCTGGATAGCGCAGGGTTTTAGGCCTCTGGCTGTGGAGCCAGAAGTTGAGAGTTCGATCCCCCACTGAGCCTCCTTGGTAGGGGCTGGACTGGATGATCCAGAGGGTTCCTTCCAGCTTTGCCCTTCTAAGATAAAGCCCAACAGATATGGGGGAACAGATTTGGGAGGTTATTTTGTAAACACCGCCTGTCTGCAACGGATCAGGAAAGAGATCTTGGTGTGCTGGTGGACAGCTGGAGGAAAGGGTCCACGCCATTTTCGCGCCCTCGGTAAGCGAGGGCAGGGCGCGAAAATGCGGCGCGGACCTTCCGGTGGCCATTTTGGAACCGCTGATCAGCTGTTCTCCCCCCGCTTCGTTATGCGATATTCGCTAAGTGAATCGCTTAGCGAATATTGCAAAGCGAAAAATCCCCATAGGGCCCATCGCTGAGCGAATGCTCCAGCGATGGCCCAGAGCGCCTCGTTAAGCGATTTCATCGCTCAGTGAGGCGCTCGTTAAGCGAGGTACCACTGTACTAGGGATCATTAAAAGGGGGGTTGAAAATAAAACAGCCAACATGATAATGCCATTGTATAAAACGCCGGTAAGACCGCACCTGGGGTCACTGCTCCTGAAAAAAAGACATTGTGGAAGTGGGAAAGGGACAGAAGAGAGCAACACAAATGAGGACTGTGCTGTGGCACCTCCCTTCTCAGGAAAGGCAACAGCGTTTGGGGTCTCTTGAGTCTAGAGAAAAGGCGCCTGAGGGGGGACATGATTGAGACGTATCAAATGATACAGGGGGTGGTTAAAGTGGAGAGAGGGAAGCTCTTTTCTCTCACACGCAATACCAGAACCGGGGGACGTCCACTCCAATGGAGTGCTGGGAGAGTGAGAACAGATCAATGAAAACATTTCTTTACCCAGCAGGTTGTTAATCTGTGGAACCCCTTGCCACAAGATGTGGTGGTGGCATCTGGCCTAGATGCCTTTAAAAGGAGACTGGACAGATTCCTGGAGGAAAAGTCCATCACAGGTTACAAGCCATGATGATGGGGGATGTATAATCTCCAGGCTTACAAAGAAGGTTCCTCCAAAGGCCAGATGCAGGGGAGGGGGATCAGGAGACAGTTATATCTCGTGGTCTCGTGTGCTCCCAGACCGATCTGGTGGGGCCAGCAGGAGATACAGGAAGCTGGACTCGATGGGCCCTTGGCCTGATCCAGCAGGGCTCTTCTGATGCTTTTATGAAAGGGGAAAGGAAAGGAGCGGAAAGTTAATCAGAATCACAAGCTCTGCCTTTCAACAGTTTTCCAGGAATCATGGCAGAGGCTCACATTCCAGGACGCCTCCTCTCCCAGTTGATTCTCAGCAGGAATAAAACTGAGGAAACAAACAGCCGCCAGAGAGGAAATCGGAAGGCCAGCGAGAAAAGATGGCCCCGTTGGGTGCTTGCCAACAGCCAGCCGCTTGTTTCAAGGGGAAGATTGATCCGGCAGGACGTTCAGCCCAGCCCTCAAGAACTGCTGAGGATAGAGAAATTCATCTCGTGAACTACTTATTCTTCCCAGGCTGCTTGGCCATGCTGGAGACTCTGTGGCCCAACCAAGCCATATTTCCAGATTTTTGAGAGAGGCCACTGGAAAATGCGAGTGCCAATTCAGAAAGCTGGGGAATTTAGGAGGAGAATTGTCTTTTAGTGTGCACATGGGTCCATAGGATAAAATGAGTTAAGTCTGCCTTAAAACATGGAGTGTGGCATTTTCTCTTATCATTGCTCCAAAATCTCTCATCTGAAATCAGAAAAGGTGAAAACTATGGCATTAGACAACAATATTTTCCTTTGTACTGCACTTCCTGCCAATGTCCCCTGTGTTGTGCCCCTGTGAGGGATACAGTAGCAAAGATCAGTTTAAAAAAAGATAAGAAGAAAAAAAGATAAGGAAAAAGATAAGGCTCAAGGGGAGAGCTATGTCTTTTATGGGTCCTTTTAAAGTGAAAGACAGGATTAAAAAAACATAATTAATTATAATTAATCAAATTAATTATGTTTATGCTATTGATTCAGCACCAATGAAAGGCATCCAGGGATCCACGCCATGCCTTTGCTGACCTGTAACAGCATTGGTCGAGACGGGCCCCAGACGCTTGTTGCCGGAAAGTCCGAAAACGTTGAATTCATATCGCTGCGAAGGTGTCAAATTGTAGAGATGGAAGGAGCGCATGGCTCCGTCCACCGGTAAGACCTGGAGCTTGCCCGCGGCGTCTTTGTACTGGATGAGGAAGGAGTCAAAGCTACCTTCTCGGATGCTCCAGGAGAGGAGAAGGGAATCTGAGGTGACCTCAGAGACTACGAGGTCTCCGAGCCTGGGTGAAATGCTCCTCCCTGGCTCCTTCTCTTCCACGGGCGCTTCCCCAGGTGTTTCTGCAGCTACAAAAATAAGAGAGGAAGATCATGAAGGATCTCGAGCTATCATTTCTAGAAAGCAATGTGATCACGAGTTTATAGGATCTCTGAGGTGATTTTTCAGGGGCCTACTCCATGCGATGCTCAACTCCGTTTCCTGTTAAGAGACCTCAAGTGTGGAGAGTAACGATGTGCACGTGCAAAAATCACGTACACGGTTCAGCTGATGGAAATATTCCTTTTCTGTAGGGCTAAATATAGGCTCCAATAAAAGAACTGAAATCCAGTCAAGAATTTGAAATTCTCCAGGGTTCTCCAGTGAATTGAAATTCTGTGCCAGGAAAAAAAAGTGGTTTCTACAGCCCATATGGATCACCCACACCAAATAACTACATATATATAGTTTTTCCTTAATTGTCAGTTTGAATTGATTTTTTTTGTTTTTTTGGTCACTCATTGTGGTTACACTTCCAAACCTATCCTTCAGAGCCTAGTGATTAGGCCTAAAATCCTGCTGTTGCTTTTATTTCTTTAACGACAATCTGCATCCTCTGTGTCCCCACCACCTGACATTTTATTTAACCATCTCTCCACTTGCCAGGTCTTCGCTACAAGGTGCTGAGGGAAAGACATTATCAGTTAGCTCAGTTTCATCAGATGTTGTTAGTCTGAGAATGGAGCCGTTCAGTTCAACCTGCTGCATTTCAGGAAACCTCTGCCAGGGCAAAATAGGTTTAACTATTTTGCCTTCTTTCCCCTCATAGAATATTTACATTCTTAACTGAGCATCCAATCCAGAGAGTTTTTACGGGGGCCTTCAGTCACCAACAGTAACGCACTGAATGCTTGTCTAGAAAGAGCTGACAAAAAGTACAAATGGTGCCTCACTAGACAGTTACCCCGCATGACAGTTTTTTCGCTAGACACTGACTTTTTGCGATCGCTATAGCGATTCGCAAAACAGTGAGTCCTATGGGGGAATTTCGCTGGACAATGTTTGGCCCCTGTTTCGCAAACCGATTTTCGCTAGATGACGATTTTGACAGCTCCCTCCGCACTCGCAAAACGGGTGTTTTCGGGACCTAAGCTTCACAAGACAGCTATTTAAACAGCTGATCAGCGGTTCGCAAAGCGGCGTTCCTATGGCCGATCTTCGCTAGGCAACGACGATTCTTCCCCATTGGAACACATTAAACAGGTTACAATGCATTCCAATGGGGAAATGCTTTTTGCTAGGCAATGATTTCGCTAAACAGCAATTTCAGTGGAATGGATTATCATCATCTAGCAAGGCACCACTGTACCAGATTCAGCATGGATCACAAAGAGGTGTGTATGTGAGATAACATTTTTCAAATACTACTTAGGCAGAGGAGGGGCAGCATCTGTTCTCGATCATTTCAGAGTGCAGGACACGCAATAATGGGCTCAAGTTACAGGAAGTCAAATTTTGGTTGAATATCAGGAAAAACTTCATAACTGTTAAGAACAGTACAATGGAACCAATTACCTCATGAAGTGGTGAGGGCTCCAACCCTGGAGGCATTCAAGAGAAACTTAGATAAGCACCTGGCAGATATCCGTTGATTTGTATTCCTGCATTGAGCAGGGGGTTGGACTTGATGGCCTTGTAGGCCCCTTCCAACTTCACTATTCTATGATTCTAATTTTGCCAGGGGGCCTGATCCAAATTCTCTGTCCATCCTATATATATATTCGGAATATAAGATAAGTAAGATATTCGGAATTTAAGATGTTTTATATATAAATAGACATTTATATGTACATATATAAATATATACATTTATACAATTATATATACATATTAAAAACATCTTATATTCCGAATATCTTATTCAGAATATTCCGAATATCTTATTCTGTATATCTTATTTTCGGGGAAACACAGTATATAGTCCTGGGACAGAGCTTATTTCCACAGCACATCCTATGGAGAAGAGTTCATTTCTGTGTCAGACAGTCTCACCTGAAAGCTGATTACAAAGATTTAAAAAAAAAAAAGCTCTGGAAGCAAAGCTGAAGCAAGGAACTAGATTTATAGTATTTTTATATAGATATATAGTTGGCTAGATAGCTTAGTGGTTTAGGTATCTGGCTGTGAAGCCAGAAGTTGGGAATTGGATTCTCTCCTGTTCTTCTTGTGAGTAGAGCCAACCCGTGTGGCCTTCCTATTGCAAAGCGCACAGTCCCAGGGTGACTCCCAGAAGAAGGGAATGGTAAAGCCCACTTTTGTATCTTCTACCTAGAAACCCCTGGAAAGGGTTGCCGTTAAGTCAGAAGTAACTTGACAGCGCATGATGATTATTATAATGGATCCATAAGGATTGCTGGGTCCCATAAGCATTTTTCAAAGTCATGGCTTTACGGACTCAATGCAGACACAAATGCTGATAAGCCCAAGTCGATTTAGGATGAACCAAGCTCATTTCAGAAACTTTGGCCATCTGGACAAGGCCTACATTTCTGTCCTTGCCCGTAACAGAATGCAAACTGGTGTCCAAACTTTTCAGATTTCTTGTGGTTGTTCTGGGTTTTTCAGGCTCTTTGGCCGTGTTCTGAAGGTTGTTCTTCCTAACGTTTCACCAGTCTCTGTGGCCATGGGCATCTTCAGAAGACAGCACTCTGTGCTCTGGTGTAGTTGGCTTGGGACTGCAGTATTTATGGCTGTGAGATAGGCTTTTGTCTTTTTCTGTAGATGTTTCAGATTTCTCTTTTAAGCTGTAGTGTGTAGGATTTTTCTCTCTTTTTGCTACAGGAGCAAACCAGAACCCCATGGTATGGTCTTGTACACCATGAAGGGTGCCTGTTCAGATAAGGGCCGCAGGGTTTTCTTGAACAGAAGCTAATTCCCTACTTAGCAGGTGCTTATACACATAATTTATTTAATTAATTTATTTATTTGATTTATACCCCGCCCATCTGGCCTATAAGACCACTCTAATTCAGATTCTAGAAATCATTACCAGATGCAATATCTAGGTGCTCTTTAAGTATTATTTTCCAGGCACATACAATTTAGAAACTTGTCATTCTTAAAGAAAAGCTGAAAATCAGAAGAAACCGAACTACGCATCTAGTGAATGGATTCTTTGACAACCAGGAAACTTTTCTACATCCACATGGAAGTGTGTCATGTGCTCACCCCTACTGTCAGGTTAAGAAATGGTCACATGCAAAGAAGGAATAAAAGGAAAAAGGTGATAGCCCTTCTAGGAAGTTTCAGGAATTCTGAATAAAAGAGAAAGTTTGAGTTAAGAGGCTTAAGAGTAATATCAGCGTTTACATCCCACCCTCCTCTTTCTCTGATGCTTCTGTTCGCTGACCTGTTGTGACAGCATTGGCAGAGATGGGTCCCAAACGCTGTTTTCCGGAGATGCCATAGAGATTGAACCTATATTTGTGAGAAGGGGAACGACTGGGGATCAGGACCTCCCGGGCGTCCCCTCCGACAGGCAGCGCCTGGGGTCTTCCCTCGGCATCCTTGTACTGCACTGAGAAAGAATCAAAGCTTCCCGCGGGTACCGTCCAAGAGAGACGGGCAGCGTCGCTGGTGACTTCGGACACCGAAAGCTGCCCCAAGCGGGTCTCGGTGCCGGCAGGACCCTCGTTCTCCTCCTCTTCTCGTACATCTTGCTGTTTCTCCTCTCCTGTTGATGCTAGAGTTAAAAAAAAGATAATGAGTGAAAAATCCAGGTTGGACATTCTCACAGTGGACCTCTGCCTCCTTCTCTTCTAACGAAGCAGCTAGCACAAGGAGGAGGAGGAGGAAAACAACCTGCAGGAAGATCAGAAGGAGAAGTTGGGAATGAATGAGAATACAGCTAGAACTTCCATGCACACAGACAGCCTGCCAAAGGGATCAATTCCTTTGTGACATCCAGATTTAGACAACACGTCGGCCTGCCTTTGATCACTATGTAGAAACTTTAGTGTGGGCAGAATTATTTTTTTGGGGTCCAACTGCAGGGGACTGATTTTATTACATATCCATAATACCATGTTTCCCTGAAAATAAGGCAGAGTTTTATATTAATTTTTGCTCCAAAAAACATATTAGGGCTTATTTTCAGGGGAGGTTTTGTTTTTCTCACAGACAACAATCTACATGCATTCACATACAGTCATGTCATCTTCCAGCTGCTGCACAAGGGTAGAGGGCGGGGTTTCACTGAACTGGGGCTTATTTGGGGGGAAGGGCTTATATTACGAGCATCCTGAAAAATCATATTAGGGCTTATTTTCAGGTTAGGTCTTATTTTCGGGGAATCAGGGTACCTACATTCTGCTTGTTTTAATATAACTCCTAAATGGTACACATTAAAATGGGTATGTGATACAATAAAAATCCTCTATAAAAATAAGTTTGAAACACACTCAAAGAACCAGTTGGAGCATTCAGCACCTTTCAAGATAATTGATTCCATTGCCCTCATAGTCCCAAGGAACTTATAGTGATTTGTATGTCACCAACATAACCTTAAACATGACTTGCTGAGCGAGTTCTTTCACTGTCCACCTGCCTGTTGCCTAGCTTAATCCAAAGTGGTATTTTAACCAACTGCACCTTGGCTTAGAATCTGGCCATCCGATGGACCATCTAGTCCCGCATAACTTTATCCAAATCTCAAATCTCTTCCTCTGAGATTTTTATCTAGACACTTTCTGATATGCCAGAGAAGGCCTTTATTACTATCCTTCTTTACTACACTTCAGGTGCCAGTGAAAATTGTGAATTCTTTCTAAATATGTAGTACTGTAGCATTTCTAGGTTTTTTGGTACTGTTTTCTTGCAGTTTGAATTAGCTGGCCTGACTCTCATTTTTATTTGTTTCTAATTTTCCCACTTTCCCCCCCACCCCGCCATTTAGGAGTAAGTGCTAATTGCAGGGGCATTTTTCAAAAAAATTAAAATAATGTTTTGCAAACGATGTTCCTTTCAAATATTTTTTAGACTATCGTTTATATTGGTTTGCTTGTCTTCCTGTCTACACGATAGCATTAAGATCAATGTGTTCAATATAAGACGTTGTTTCAAAACTCTGCCTAAGGCCAGCTTAGTCAAAGGTGGATACCCCCAATTTTCAGTCAGTTAGGCGTCTCACAAACCACAGCTTCATCTGACAGGAAAAAAAAAAAAGAAATGGGCAGAGGAAGAAGCTAGGATATAAAAGGCAGATGGTGACCTTTGCAAAGATTTTGAAAAACCAGACGTTGACCTAATATCTAATAAAGTAGCAAAAGTGAGTTGAACAGTTGAGAAGTGAACTCAGTGGCCCTGCCCCCTACTTCCGAAAGCAAGCACATCGGCTGACCTGTCGTGACCACGTTGGCAGAGATGGGACCCAAACGCTGTTTTCCAGAGATGCCATAGAGATTGAATCTGTATTTGTGAGAAGGGGAAAGACTGGGGATCAGGACCTCCCGGGCGTCCCCTCCGACAGGCAGCGTCTGGGGTCTTCCCTCGGCATCCTTGTACTGGAGTGAGAAAGAATCAAAGCTTCCGACGGGGACCGTCCAAGAGAGACGGGCAGCATTGCTGGGGACTTCGGAGACAGAAAGCTGCCCCAAGCGGGGCTCTGTGCCGGCAGGACCCTCGTCCTCCTCCTCTTCTCGTACATCTTGCTGTTTCTCTTCACCTGTTGATGCTAGAGTTAAAGCAAAGAGGGTGAGTGAATGAGTGAAAAATCCAGGTTGGACATTCTCACAGTGGACCTCTGCCTCTATGTCTTCTAACGAAGCAGCTAGAACAAGGAGGAGGAGGAAAGCAACCTGCAGGAAAAACAGAGAGAGAAGCTGGGGACGGAGAGCATTACAGTACATTAAGAGATTCCACGTAAACAGACAACCTGCCAAACGTATCAATTCCTTTGTAGACATTTCAGTGCAGGCAGAATCTAACAAATAGAATATTATTTTGAGTCCAACTTGGGGGGGGCTAGTTTTATTATTTATGTATAGTACCTATAGGCTGCTTGATAATAATAAAACCTTTCAGAGATGCACATTAAAGTGGATATGGGTCCAAGATGTCTCAAGGGCTGCCTCTCCCTTTATGGGCCTCCCCGAGTGTTAAGCTCATCAGGGGAGGCCTTTTTTCCTCAGTTCCTGTACCCTCACAGCTACACTTGATGGGGACAAGGAAGGGTTTCTTTCCTCTGTGGCTACTCCCAGAGACTCTGGAACTCCCTCCCACTGGAAGCCAGCCTGGCCCCATCTTTGCTGTCCTTCCACAAGCAGGCAAAGGCCATTCACTTCAGGGAAGCTTTTAGTTAGTGATTGGCTGTCTGACAAGGGTTTTTGAAATGGCATTTTGCAGCTTTGAATGTGTTTCTTTTTGCCATTTTTGTGGTATTTGTTTGATTCTTGTTAACATATTTGTATGTATTTGTGTGTTCTGTGCTGTCCAGCCAGAACCAAGTTACGAGGGCTTTCAAAGTAGGTAAGATATTTAAGGAGTGGTTTTCCCAGTTCCACTCCCCCAGTCAGAGAGAAAAAAAAGAAAGAATAAAAATCCTCTATAAAAATAATTTTAAAACAAACTCAAACAATTGGTACAAAAATAGAGGATAATAAATCATGGCTTGATAGGGAAGCTCTGTGTAAACAAACATGTTATCAAAGAGCATTTAAAACCCAGCAAGCTATCTGCCTAACTGTTTCTGCCTATTGTTTTTTTAGTGTGGTATGTGTTTGATCCTTTTTAGTCTCTCTATACTTACTGGTTTCTTGCTTTAAATATTGTCTTTTAATTATATAAGCTGCCTTGGGTCCTTTTTAGGGAGAAAGGAGAAGTAAAAATATTTTTAACAAACAAATAAACAATATTCCAAAGTGCTGCAAGTGCACCTTGGCTTAGAACCTGGACATCTGAAGATGTCTAGACTTGTATAACTTTACCCAAATCTCAGATCTATTCCTCTGAGATCTTTCTGTGGACATTTCACTTTCTGAAGTACTGGAGAGGAAGGCCTTGATTACTACATTACTGTACTCCGGAATTGCCAAGGAAAGGTCTTTCCATTTGTGAAAGCTTTTAAAATGGTAACGTTACTAACTTCATGTCTTGATTCTGTTTTACTTGCTTTGTTAGTATCGTTCGTTTGCATTTTGAATTAGCTGCTTCGACTCCCATTTTGATCTGCTTCTCATTTTTCCACATTTTAGCCCTATTTAGGGATACAATACAGGAGTATTGAACCACAGCTCCAGCTGACAGAAAAAAAGAAATGGGCAGAGGAAGAAGCTAGGGAAAAAAGAGGCAGATGGTGGTCTTTCCAGGGAATGTTGACCTAAAATCTGAGAAAGTGGGAAAGCTGAATTGAACAACAGTCTGCCCCATCCTTCTGAAAGCAAGCACATTGGCTGACCTGTCGTGACCGTATTGGCAGAGACGGGTCCCAAACGCCGTTGCCCAGAGAAAAAAGAAATGGGCAGAGGAAGAAGCTAGGGAAAAAAGAGGCAGATGGTGGTCTTTCCAGGGAATGTTGACCTAAAATCTGAGAAAGTGGGAAAGCTGAATTGAACAACAGTCTGCCCCATCCTTCTGAAAGCAAGCACATTGGCTGACCTGTCGTGACCGTATTGGCAGAGACGGGTCCCAAACGCCGTTGCCCAGAGATGCCAAAGAGATTGAACTTGTATTTGTGGGAGGGGGCCAGGTTGGAGACCAGGACTTCCCGGGCGTCCCCTCCGACAGGCAGCACCTGGGGTCTTCCTTCGGCATCCTTGTACTGGACTGAGAAAGAATCAAAGCTTCCCGCGGGGACCGTCCAAGAGAGACGGGCGGCGTCGCTGGTGACTTCGGAGACCGAAAGCTGCCCCAAGCGGGGCTCGGTGCCGGCAGGACCCTCGTTCTCCGCCTCTTCTCGTACATCTTGCTGTTTCTCCTCACCAGTTGAGGCTAGAGTTAAAACAAAGATTGTGAGTGAATGAGTGAGAAATCCAGGCTGGACATTCTCACAGTGGACCTCTGCCTCTATGTCTTCTAACGAAGCAGCTAGAACAAGGAGGAGGAGGAAAGCAACCTGCAGGAAAAACAGAGAGGGAAGCTGGAAACGGAGAGCATTACGTTGAGAGCTTCCATGAACACAGGCAGCTTGCCAAAGGCATCCATTCCTTTGTGACATCCAGATTTAGATGACACGTAAGGCTGCCTTTGATGACGATGTAGAAATTTCAGTGCAGGCAGAATCTGGCTAATAGAATATTTTTTGAGGGGGGGGTTGTTTTATTATTTATACAAATTACCTATAGGCTACTTGATAATAATAAAACCTTTCAGTGATGCACATTAAAGTGGATATGGGTCCAAGATGTCTCAAAGGCTGCATCTCCCTTTATGGGCCTACCCGAATGTTAAGCTCATCAGGGGAGGCCTTTTTTTAAAACCATATTAACAATACTAAGATTAATGTGTTCAGTCTTGCACCTTGGTGCCAAGCTCTGCCTAACACCAAAGCACAGACAAAACCAGGTAAAAGGTAAAGGTTCCCCTTGACAATATGTCTAGTCGTGTCCGACTCTAGGTGGCGGTGCTCATCTTTGTTTCCAACCCATAGAGAGACAGCATTTGTCCGCAGATAAACCTCCGTGGTCACGTGGCCAGCGTGACTAGACACAGAATGCTGTTTCCCTTCCCATCAAGGTACCTATTTATCTACTTGCATTTTTGCATTTTGCATGCTTTCGAACCACTAGGTTGGGGGAAGCTAGGACAAGCGACAGTGGCTCACTCCGTTGCGTGGATTCGATCTTACGACTGCAGGTCTTCTGACTTGCAGCACAGAGGCTTCAGCGGTTTAACCCGCAGTGCCACAATGTCCCAGAAGGTGCAAATGTAGATGCCATTGACTTTCTGTCGGTCAGTTTTCTCACAACCACAGCTCCGTCTGACGGAAAAAAAGAAATGGGCGGAGGAAGAAGCTAGGGAGAAAAGAGGCAGATGATGGTCTTTCCAGAGAATTTCAAAAAAGAGGCGTTGATCTAAAATCTGACAAAGTGGGAAAGCTGAGTTAAACAATAAGAAAGTGAAATGAGTGGCCCTGCCCTCTTCTTCTGAAAGCAAGCACATCGGCTGACCTGTCGTGACCGCATTGGCAGAGATGGGTCCCAAACGCCGTTGCCCAGAGATGCCAAAGAGATTGAACTTGTATTTGTGAGAGGGGGCCAGGTTGGGGACCAGGACCTCCCGGGCATCCCCTCCAACAGGCAGCGCCTGGGGTCTTCCCTCGGCATCCTTGTACTGGACTGAGAAAGAGTCAAAGCTTCCCGCGGAGACCGTCCAAGAGAGACGGGCAGCGTCGCTGGTGACTTCGGAGACTGAAAGCTGCCCCAAGCGGGGCTCGGTTCCAGCAGGACCCTCGTTCTCCACCTCTTCTCGTACATCTTGCTGTTTCTCCTCACCTGTTGAGGCTAGAGTTAAAACAAAGATCGTGAGTGAAAAATCCAGGTTGGACATTCTCACAATGGACCTCTGCCTCCTTGTTTTCTACCGAAGCAGCTAGCACAAGGAGGAGGAGGAAAGCAACCTGCAGGAAAAACAGAGAGAGAAGCTGGGAACGGAGAGCATTACTTTGAGAGCTTCCACGTAAACAGACAACCTGCGAAAGGTATCAATTCCTTTGTAGAAATTTCAGTGCAGGCAGAATCTAACAAATAGAATATTTTTGAGTCCAACTTTGCGGGGGGGGCTAGTTTTATTATTTATGTATAGTACCTATAGGCTACTTGATAATAATAAAACCTTTCAGAGATGCACATTAAAGTGGATATGGGTCCAAGATGTCTCAAAGGCTGCATCTCCCTTTATGGGCCTCCCCGAATGTTAAGCTCATCAGGGGAGGCCTTTTTTCCTCAGTTCCACCACGCTCACAGCTACACTTGATGGGGACAAGGAAGGGTTTTTTTCTCTGTGGCTGCTCCCTCAGACTCTGGAACTCTCTCCCACTGAAAGACAGCCTGGCACCATCTTTGCTGTCCTTCCACAAGTAGGCAGAGGCCATTCACTTCAGGGAAGCTTTTACTTAGTGATTGGCTGTCTGACAAGGGTTTTGAAATGGCGTTTTGCAGTTTTGAATGCGTTTTTGTGCCATTTTTGTGGTATTTGTTTGATTATTTTTAACATATTTGTATGTATTTGTGTGTTCTGTGCTGTCAAGCCAGAACAAGTTACGAGGGCTTTCAAAGTAGGTAAGATATTTGAGTGTTTTTGCCAGTTCTACTCCCTCAGTGTGTGAGAGAAAAAGAAATAGAACTTCTCTATAAAAATAATTTAAAAACAAACTCAAACAACTGGTACAAAAATAGAGGATAATAAATCATGGCTTGCTAGGGAAGCCCTGTGTAAACAAATATGTTATCAAAGAGCATTTAAAGCCCAGCAAGCTATCTGCCTGACTGTTTCTGCCTATCCTCTTTTTTTGGTGTGGTATATGTTTGATCCTTTTTAGTCTTTCTAGATTTACTGGGTTTTTTGTTTCTTTTCTTTTCTTTTTTTTTGCTTTAAATACAGTGGACCCTCGACTTACGGAATTAATCCATATTAGAACGGTGGTTGCAGGTCGAAAAGTCTGTAGGTCGAGGTTACATTGACCTACAATGCATCAAAAACCGATTAATCCATAACCGTCCGTTTTTGTTCCATTTTGTTTTTTTTCTGGTCTGTAGGTCGATTCTCCGGCTGCAAGTCGAACCTAAATTTTGCGGCCAGAGAAGTCTATAACTCGAAAAGTCTGTAAGTCGAGCCGTCTGTAAGTCAAGGGTCCACTGCATTGTCTTTTGATTATATAAGCTGCCTTCGGTCCTTTTTAGGGAGAAAGGAGGAGGAAAAATATTTTTATCAAACAAATAAACAAATATTCCAAAGTGCTGCTTTAACCAAGTGCACCTTGGCTAAGAACCTGGCCATCTGAAGGACCGTCTAGACTTGTATAACTTTACCCAAATCTCAGATCTATTCCTCTGAGATCTTTCTGTGGACATTTCACTTTCTGAAGTACTGGAGAGGAAGGCCTTGATTACTACATTACTGTACTCCGGAATTGCCAAGGAAAGGTCTTTCCATTTGTGAAAGCTTTTAAAATGGTAACGTTACTAACTTCATGTCTTGATTCTGTTTTACTTGCTTTGTTAGTATCGTTCGTTTGCATTTTGAATTAGCTGCTTCGACTCCCATTTTGATCTGCTTCTCATTTTTCCACATTTTAGCCTTATTTAGGGATACATGCTATTACAGGAGTATTGTACAAAAATGTAAAAAAAAAACATTTTGCAAATCATGTTCCTTACAAAACAATTTTCAGAAGATCAGCTGCATTGGTTTGCTGGTATTCCTGTTAAAACCAAATTAACAATACTAAGATTGATGTGTTCAGTCTTACACCTTGGTTCCAAGCTCTCCGCCTAAGACCAAGCATGGGCAAAATCAACTTATATGCAAATGTAGAAGCCAGTGGGTCATATTTCTCACAAACCACAGCTCCACCTGACAGGAAAAAAAGAAATGGGCAGAGGAAGACGCTAGGGAAAAAAGAGGCAGATGATGGTCTTACCAGGGAATTTAAAAATGAGACGTTGACCTAAAATCTGACAAAGTGGGAAAGCTGAGTTAAACAATAGGAAAGTGAACTCAGTGGCCCTGCCCCCTTCTTCTAAAAGCAAGAGCATCGGCTGACCTGTCGTGACCGCGTTGGCAGAGACGGGTCCCAAACGCCGTTGCCCAGAGATGCCAAAGAGGTTGAACTTGTATTTGTGAGAGGAGGCCAGGTTGGGGATCAAGACCTCCCGGGCATCCCCTCCGACAGGCAGCACCTGGGGTCTTCCCTCGGCATCCTTGTACTGGACTGAGAAAGAATCAAAGCTTCCGGCGGGGACCGTCCAAGAGAGACGGGCAGCGTCGCTGGTGATTTCGGAGACCGAAAGGTCCCCCAAGCGGGGCTCAATGCCAGCAGGACCCTCATTCTCCGCCTCTTCTCGTACATCTTGCTGTTTCTCCTCACCAGTTGAGGCTAGAGTTAAAACAAAGATCGTGAGTGAAAAATCCAGGCTGGACATTCTCACAGTGGACCTCTGCCTCCTTCTCTTCTAACAAGGCACTTAGCACAAGGAAGAGGAGGAAAGCATCCCTCAGGAAGATCAGAAAGAGAAGCTGGGAATGTATGAGAATACAGCCAGACCTTCCATGCACACAGACAGCCTGCCAAAGGGTATCAATTCCTTTGTGACATCCAGATTTAGACAACATGTAGGGCTGTCTTTCAGGACTAAGTACAGTGGAGTCTTGACTTACGAACGGCTCGACATACGAACGTTTCGACTTACGAACCGCTCTCATAGGAATATATGGACTCGACTTACGAGCTTAGATTCGAGTTACGAACTCTTTTTCCCCCCTTTTTTAAAAGCTAAGTCATCTTAGGTTAGAAGGAAAAAAGAAAATAATTATCCCCCTCTAGTGGCAGAAGGCGGAATAGCAGCTTCCCATTAGTTTCTATGGACGAAAAGAGCAGATACGGATTAAATGGTTTTCAATGCATTTCTATGGGAAATGTAGATTCGGCTTAAGAACTTTTCGACCTGAGAACTGCCTTCCAATACGGATTAAGTTCATAAGTTGAGACCCCACTGTAAAACCTTTGTGCTGGCAGAATCTCGCAACTAGGCTCCATCTGACAGAAAAAAAGAAATGGGCAGATGAAGAAGCTAGGGAAAAAAGAGGCAAATGATGGTCTTTCCAGGGAATTTCAAAAAAGAGATGTTGACCTAAAATCTGACAAAGTGGGAAAGCTGAGTTAAACAATAAGAAAGTGAAATCAGTGGCCCTGTCCCCTCCTTCTGAAAGCAAGCACACCGGCTGACCTGTCGTGACCGCGTTGGCAGAGATGGGTCCCAAACGCTGTTTTCCGGAGATGCCAAAGAGATTGACCCTATATTTGTGAGAAGGGGAAAGACTGAGGATCAGGACCTCCCGGGCGCCCCCACCGACAGGCAGGGCTTGGGGTCTTCCCTTGGCATCCTTGTACTGGACTGAGAAAGAATCAAAGCTTCCCGCGGGGACCGTCCAAGAGAGACGGGCAGCATCGCTGGTGACTTCGGAGACCGAAAGTTGCCCCAAGCGGGGCTCGGTGCCGGCAGGACCCTCGTTCTCTGCCTCTTCTCGTACCTCTTGCTGTTTCTCCTCACCTGGTGATGCTCGAGTTAAAACAAAGATCGTGAGTGAAAAATCTAGGCTGGATATTGTCACAGTGGACCTCAGTCTCCTTCTCTTCTAACGAAGCAGCTAGCACAAGGAAGAGGAGGAGGAAAGCAACCTGCAGGAAGATCACAAAGAGAAGCTGGGAATGAATGAGAATACAGCCAGACAACCAGCCAAAGGTATCAATTCCTTTGTGACATCCAGATTTAAACAACACGTAGGACTGTCTTTCAGGACTAAGTAAAACCTTTGTGCCAGCAGAATCTCGCAACTACGTTATTTCTCGGGTCCAACTGTGGGGGACTGATTTTATTATTTATGTACAGTACTTGCATGCCACTGGATATAATAAATGCTCTCAGTGACATCTATTACAATGGATATGCAATAGAATAAAAATCATCTATAAAAATAATTTTAGAACACACTGAAACAACAGGTAGGAATGTAGATGAATACAAATCAACACCAGCTAGGTAAGATCCGTGTAAACAAACACGTTTTCAAATATCTTTTAGTGCCCATCCAGGTATCTGTCTCTTGAAATACACAAGAGTATTCCAGTGGGCAGCTGCCGACAAGGAAAAGATCTATATCTATGGTGTGACTCTGACTTTTTTTTTTAGTTGAGGAACAGCCAAGATCCACTGGGGATTTCTGAGGCCCCATACCAAGTAAGGTCGTTCGTTCAACACCATGTTCTTTCCAAAACATTTTAAAGCCATCAGTAGAATTGGTTTACTTGCGTTTCTGTTTGCACAAAAGTAACATGGGTTCAAGATACCACATTGTTGCCAAACGCTGCCTAAGGCCAACTTATACGCAAATGTAGATGCCACTGATTTTCAGTCATCCGTAACATTTCTCACAGGGGCAGCCCCATTTAACAGGCAAAAAAGAAATGGGCAGAGGAAGAAACTAGGGCAAAAAAAGAGGCAGATGATGGTCTTTCCAGAGGATTGAAGAAAGAAGAAGATATTAACGGAAAAATCTAATAAAGTGGGAAAGCTGACTTAAACAATAGGAAAGAGAACTCAGTGGCCCTGCCCCCTCCTTCTAAAAGCAAGAGCATCAGCTGACCTGTCGTGACTGCATTGGCAGAGACGGGTCCAAAACGCTGTTTTCCGGATATGCCAAAGAGATTGAACTTGTATTTGTGAGAGGGGGCCAGGTTGGGGACCAGGACCTCCCGGGCGTCCCCTCCGACAGGCAGCGCCTGGGGTCTTCCCTCGGCATCCTTGTACTGGACTGAGAAAGAATCAAAGCTTCCCGCGGGGACCGTCCAAGAGAGACGGGCAGCATCACTGGTGACTTCAGAGACAGAAAGCTTCCCCAAGCGGGGCGCCTGCATTCCACGAGGGATCTCTTTGTCTGCCTTTGGTCCCACTTCCTGTGGCTTCTCGTCACCTGCGGTTGCTATAATTAAAACAGAGTTGGGGAGCAAGTAAGCAACTAATGGAATTCAGATGGATTTTATGATGGCCTTTCCTTGTCACTCAGGAAGCACACACAGAGTGAGGAAACCTTACTCTCAGGTTAGAAAGCAAAATTAGAGGCAGCAGAGCATAGTTTCAGAGACTTCCGACATTACAGCTCCTGGTAACACACACAGGTTAGACTACTGCCAATGCATTATACTTGGGGCTGCCTCTGAAGAGTGCTTGCAGGCTTTACTTCATGCAGGATGTCATAGGCAGATGATTGACTTGATGCAACTATGGGGGAGTTATCAAGGATGAGAGAGAGTATTCTAGGTCTCTGCCTCTCTGTGTTCCAGGCCAAATTTGAAATGCTGATTTTCACACAAAACGATATCCTGGCTTGAAATTTCACCATCTGAAGGACCAACCACCTGAACGTACAGAAACATGTCTGGGTGCCAAAAAATAATAATAAATAAAATAAAAATCTCAGGCCCTTGCCCAATTATCCGACCTTTTAAAAAGATTGATAAGAGGGCTTCTGTGTAGCGCTCCTGTTCTGTTTTTTAATGTGAGCTTTTGTGGACGCGTCAGAGGACAAAACAAATAGCTTATATTAGAAGAGAGCAATTAGCCTTTAAGGTGCCTCAACATTCTCGTATTCTTTATTTTTTAATGTTTCTTTTTCCCCCCTGCAGAAATGTACCCTGTTCCTTCTTCACTCAACTTCAGTTGTCCCATGATGTATTTTGCAGGTACAGCAAATACAGTGGACTCTCGACTTACAGACGGCCCGACTTACAGACTTTTCGAGTTACAGGCTTCTCTGGCTGCAAAATTTAGATTCGACTTGCAGCCGGAGAATCGACTTACAGGCCAGAAAAAAACCACAATGGAACAAAAATAGAATAAAAACCGCCGGTTACGGGATTAATCGGTTTTCAATGCATTGTAGCTCAATGGAGATTCGACCTACAGACTTTTCGACTTGCAGCCACCATTCCAATACGGATTAATTCTGTAAGTAGAGGGTCCACTGTACTGTTTACAGATATTAGTACCCCTTTGCACTTTTCCCACATTGCTGTGGACCTCAGGGCCTGTGGCGGCCTCTACCTTGTCATGCACTCAGGCCCACCTACTGGGAGAAAAACAGGAAGGCAAGAAGGGAAGAAAAAGAAGAAGAAGAAGCCACGGATGATCATTTCAGGCGGTTCCAAAAACCTGACACTGACCTGAAACCTAATAAAGTGGAAACTCTTGAGTAAGAGTGTAGTAAGCACAAAATCAATTGTAAATCCCACCCCACTACTTTCTCCAGGGCATCTCCTGACCTGTTGTCACAGCACTGGCAGAGACGGGTCCCAAGCGCTGTTTTCCGGAGATGCCATAGAGATTGAACCTGTATTTGTGAGAAGGGGAAAGACTGGGGACCAGGACCTCCCGGGCGTCCCCTCCGACAGGCAGCGCCTGGGGTCTTCCCTCGGCATCCTTGTACTGGACTGAGAAAGAATCAAAGCTTCCCGCGGGGACCGTCCAAGAGAGACGGGCAGCGTCGCTGGTGACTTCGGAGACCGAAAGCTGCCCCAAGCGGGGCTCGGTGCCGGCAGGACCCTCGTTCTCCGCCTTTTCCTCTTCTTCCTTTGCTTCACCACCTGTCGTAACTACAATCAATACAAAGATAGTGAGTGAAGAAGACGCCAGGAGAGTATTCCAATGGAGCTTGGCCTTCTTTCACTCCCGCCCAATGATCTTCCTGGCATAAGAAAAAATAAAGGGTCCTGCTAGGCTGTTAGAAATAGAAGGGCCCTATGGATCATCCAGTTCAGCCCCCCCCATCAAGAAGGCCCAGTGAGGAATCAAACTCCTAACCTCTGGCTCAAAAATCAGATCACTAAACCACTGAGCTATCCAGAAAAAGAGAACATACGGTCAGGAATATTTCTTGTTTAGCTGCTTAGGAGTTACCCATGCGCTGGTAACGTCTAGGTGAGATTACTGTAATCACTCCTGCACTGTCTGCCTTTGGAGATTATTTGGAACTTCAGCTGTGCAAAATATGCCAAATATCAGATCACTAAACCACTGAGCTATCCAGGAAAAGAGAATATACAGTCAGGAATATTTCTTGCTTAGCTACTCAGGAGTTACTCATGTCCTGGTAACACCTCGGTGAGATTACTGTAATCACTCCTGCATTGTCTGCCTTTGGAGATTATTTGGAACTTTGGGTGTGCATAATATGCCAAAGATATTAATTGGCTGGATAAAACTGTGTGCAACTCCTTTCACCAATGCAAAAAAAAAATGTCTTTTTTTTTTGGTCCCTTCTTAGGAAGAGATCTACAGGAACCACAGAAAAAAGCCAAAGGACTAGAGGTAGGGGAAGGAATACACACCTAGAAGAAACAACCCCCTACTATGATCACAACAAGACAAGCTGAGAAGCAGAGAAAGACCCCGTATTTCTAGATCCTTTTCTGACCTGTAACCACACTGACGGAGATGGGTTCCAAGCGCCTCCGTCCAGAAACACCATACAAGTAGAATATATATCTGTAGGAAGGCACCAGGTAGTAGATCACTACTGAGTTGGTCTCCTTGTCCACAGGGATCTCCTGTGGGTTGTCTTCAGCATCCACGTACTGGACCAAGAAGGAGTCATACGTCCCAGTGGGGACATCCCAAGAGAGACGGACAGAGTCCTCGGTGACCTCGGACACAGAGAGCTCCCCCAGTTTGGGCTCTGGAGGTGGCGTGGCTGTCGCTTGTACTTTTTGCTCTTGCGCTGCCGGAGCTGTACGAGAAAGAGAGGGCACCTGAGTAGGGGATCGTGGATTCACAGCTTCCAAGAACGACAAGCGTCCAGTCATGGGATGTACAACAAGAAGAGGAAAAATAGAGACAACTGTATGGATCAGGCAGACTTACAGCTACACCTCCAACAAACTTGCTGACCACGTGGACGCTAATGCAAAGCGAGGAAGAAAGGCTCAAAAGCAAAACGGAGCAGGGGCAGGAAACGGATGAAAAGTTATACAATAAGACTGGAGGATCCACGGAGATTGGTTTTATACACACACCCTGTTTCCCTGAAAATAAGACCTAACATGAAAATAAGGCGTAGTATGATTTTTCAGGATGCTCGTAATATAAGCCCTACCCCCAAAATAAGCCCTAGTTAAGTGTAAGCCTGCCCTTCACCTTTGTGCACCAACCAGAAAGATGACATGACTGTATTTGAATAAATGTAGATCATTGCACATGAAAAAAATAAAGCATCCCCTGAAAATAAGCCCTGATGTTTTTTGGTTTTGGTTTTGGTTTTTGGAGCATAAATTAATATAAGACACTGTCTTATTTTCGGGAAAACACGGTGTGTGTGTGTGTGGATAGATCCCGCAGATAGCAGTGTCCACTGTACTAATCAAAGCTTATTTTGTAAAAAAAAAAAAGTCAAAAAGCATTGGATCCTGCAAAAATGTGTCCTAATTTGAGTAGGTTCGTTAGAATGATATGGGAGATTGTGACATAGTACTGTTACGGTATATTTTGCTTCTGGAGCACAGGTGTCTCTAGTTGTTACTGCAGCCATTTCTCCTGTCCTGGAGACTTTGTTCATTATCTCACTGGTCCCAGATTTCTAAGTACAGTATCTGTCGCAATGTTCTATTTTTTTAATAAACGGAAGTAGAAGAAATGGTACTTTGCATCATACGATGGGCCTGGCACTAGCTACTAGAGGCAAGCCAACAAACAAGATAAAACCCTAGCACAGAAGTTCCTAACTTTGTGTTCTCCAGGTGTTTTTGGACTACAACTCCCAGAAATCCTGGCCAGCTCAGCTAGTGGCGAAGGCTTCTGGGTGTTTTAGTCCAAGAACATCTGGAGGCCCAAGGTTGGGAACCACTGCCTAGCAGAAAACAGGGCCTTCCGTGTTGTCTCTAGAGGTGAGACAAGGGCGGACGTGTGCTGCTGACCTGTGATAGTGCTGGTGGATGCTGGGCCAAGGCGTTCTCCCTTGGAGATGCCATAAAGCTCAAATCGATATCTCTGGGAGGGAACCAGGTTAGGGACTGTGACCTCACGTGCGGTCCCATCCACAGGCAATGTCTGTATGTCATCTTCTCCATCCTCATATTGAACAAGGAAGGAGTCAAAACTCCCAGCTGGGACACTCCACGACAGACGGACGAAATCGCTGTTGGTTTCCGAGACCTTGAGTTCCCCCAAGCGAGGTTTATGCCTTCTGTCTTCTTCCTCCTTTTCCTCTTCTTCTTTCTGCTCTTCCTCCTCTGGTTTAGCTAGGATAGAAAACGGGAGTTTGGAATCTGGGGGGGGGGAGGGAAGAAAAGACACCCCAGGGCCCTGAGAAATGTTCCACCTGGAAGATTTTGCTATCAGAGGCAGGGAAGAAAGCATGAAAAAAAAAAAACAGGAAGCAAAATGGCTGCAAAGACAGAAATGGGCATGTTAATATGGTGGACATGCAGGGGTGATGTTTCTTCCGGCCTAGATCTTGATACCCTGAGAAGGATAAGAGGCTGTTTTAAAAGCTAAGGAGAGAGAGGAGACTATATAATGACTACGGAATGAGAGTTTATGTCAGGCAACCTGTAGAGCATGATGGCTTTCCTAATGATGGTGTGGAACAGTGATTCCCACCCTTGGGTCACCCAGATGTTCTCGGACTACAACTCCCAGAAATCCTGGCCAGCACAGCTAGGGGTGAAGGCTTCTGGGAACTGCAGTCCAAGAACACGTGGGGACCCAAGGCTGGGAACTATTGGCACAGATGATAAGAATTGGCTCCTCTGGTTCCCTCCCTCCTCACATATTTTGGGACAAAAAAACAAGAGAAGGGGTGTCTGCTTCGGCTGACCTGTCGTGGCCTCAGAGGAGACGGGGCCAAGGCGCTTGCGACCAAAAAGGCCGAAAAGGTTGAACTTGTATCTGCGGGAAGGGGCCAGGTTTGAAACCGTGACCTCACGAGACGTTCCCTCCACGGGGAGTGCCTGGGTTTTGCCCTCTGCATCCTTGTACTGGATAAGGAAGGAGTCAAAGTTTCCTGTAGCGACGGTCCAGGAGAGAAGAGCAGAATTGCTGGTGACGTCGGACACGGAAAGGTCTCCAAGGCTGGGCTTCGCTGGCTCTTCCTTCTTTACTGTAGAGGCTGGCAAGGGGGTGGAAGGGGGTGGTAGAATGGGAAAACAGGAATTAAAACTGTGCCCACAAAGAGTTTCCAACAAGTAAAGGTATGCAGGAGCCAATTAAGGGCATAACTGGGGAAAAGAATTATGGGTTGATGTGAATTTTTTATACCTCACCCATTTTATACCTCATTCATCTAAATAGCTGTTTCCACCCCGCACAGAAATATTTTATTATTTCAGGAAGGTGCGTTTCAAGTGTCCCCACATCACACAACCCTTTACCTTTCTCTGCCATTATCACCCTTTTCTTATCCATCCCTTTTGTCTGTGTTCAAATCCCTTCTTTTTTAAAAAAATATTAGCAAGTGAAATAGCGCTAAACTGACAAGATGCGGCAAGAGCTTGAATTAGCATTCTATCCATTTAGTGCTGTAGCTATAGCACTAAATTAAAGAGGAAAATTATTTTATAATGTAATTTACAAATTGGTCCACTCTATACACCATCCGTGCTGTCGTCTGGCCATGCCTCACAACTGTTTCACCCTGAGGGATATAGTCCAGTGGTAGCAATGAGAACTGGATGGAAAGTTGCCGCCAGCACCACTGAGCACCTCCTTGAGGTGCCCATTATAATCTCCTTGCAACTTCTGACACGGGTGTTGTGGACATGACAAGGTGGGGAAACTGGTGACAGGGGCCCTCTGTTGTGTTCTGTGCTTGTGTCAGGTCCACTGCTTTGCTTTTCCAAAAGAGGTTCTTTGTGACGTGCATTTGCATAGAACCTGTCATTTATCCTTGGCAAGGTGTCTTGTGAATGTCTGTCTGCCATTGATACAATAGCTCGATGTGGCTTTTCAGGCACACTGACCTGTGACTGCATCAGCAGAGACGGGGCCAAGGCGTTTCCGGCCTACAAGCCCAAAAAGGTTGAACTTGTATCGTCGGGAAGGTGAGAGGCCAGGGATGGTGGCCTCGCGGGCGTTTCCCTCCAAGGGCAACGCCTGGGTTTTGCCTTCAGCGTCTTTGTACTGGATTAAGAAAGAGTCAAAGTTCCCTGTACGGACGGTCCAGGAGAGATGGGCGGAATCAGTAGTGAGGTTAGATACAGAGAGTTGTCCCAAGCTGGGCGGAGCTATTGTTTCGGCTGGAGGAGATGCTATTGGAAGCAGAAGAGAGAAAGAGAGGGAGAGAAAGAAACACAGAGAGAGGTTAGGAAATCTTGATTTGCTAGAACCACAGTGGGCTTTTCTGAATCATCTATGCACTTTTTAGGACTGTCACACCATAGGGGTAGAAATACTTCCACAAACACCTAATAATAAATAACTTCCACTCTTGGACATGAAACAGAGGTGGAAAAACAGGTCACCCCAGCTGTCATCGGGAGTCCTACGCCCTAGCCAGTGCAGGCGATGGTGAGAAATGATGACAGTCACCATCATCTGCCTCAGGAGGTTGGGATGTTCCCATGCAGACATGAATTAGCCGACACAAAGGGAAGCAGACCCAAATTTAGAACAATTGCGTTCTCCCATGCCGAAAGAACTACATGGTTTGTGTAAAAACTAGAGAAAATGCATGGAAAACAGAAATTTCAATGTAGCAATCAAAAACAAAAATATTGCAACCAAAAACAGGAGGAGGAGAGGAAGAAAATGTAGATGGAGTCTGGGGGGAAAAAGCAACCACAAGAACATATTGATTAAGTGATACAGTGATACACCCTCAACAAAAAAACAATTGTGGTCACTGTGCACTAAGCGCTGCATTGCTAAACATTTCTATAGGAAATGTTTCTAAAAGCAGGACAGTGAAACCCACACTGCTGATGCCTCCAAAGTATAACAGGGGCACTGAGTAAATCAACAGCATTGTCCACAACAACCAAACTGCCCATTAAATCAATTTAGAAGTGAGGTATTTTAAAAAGCTCTTGCCCGCTATAATTGAAAAAACTAACTTTGCAGCCCAAATAAATAAACTCTATCCATGAGTTGAATGCCTGGGAATTTATAAATTGATTTTAAAAACGCTTAAATCAGTTTAACAGCGGTTCTTCTTGTCAGTGGAACCATTCCCTAAGGCCTTCTTTTGTGGTTTGTGAAATTAGCCAAACAATTGCACGCTTTAAAGTCTTGAAGTCCCATTCTTTTTCCTCTTGTTCCAAAATTATATTATATATTTTACTTACTATTCCTTTCAAAATTGTATCTTGCATATCTTCATGTAATGACAGAAATTGTTCGTATGCATATCTTCATGTGATGACAGAAATTGTTCGTACTTAGTAAGTTCTCTACATTTACCATTAGTTTTCAACCAATCCTTTGTCCAGGTGTCTAACTGAATAAGATTATACCATGATAGTTTATTAGATTGCAGTTTAGACATAATCAACTCCTTCGATCTCATGTTACCCATCCAGTCCTTCAATCTTGCAACCCTTTTATTCTTAAATAGTTCTACTAAATCCTTTAAATTTGTAGGAAAGTTTTCTGTCTCAGTCACTAGTTTTAATGGTGAAGTTAAGGGACAAAACTTCTCTTTATATTTATTCCAAATATTTAACAGGTTTCTTAAAAAGGGGTTTTTAATCTGATTTATTGAATTTCTCTTTAGTATATTAAACAAGTATCCTTCAGCATTTCCATTTATTTCTGAAGATTCCATCTCCCACCAAATTAATTTTTCTTTGTTGAATATAATATCTCCAATAACTCTTAATTGATTTGCTATATAATAATTTTTAACATTGGGCATACCTAAACCTCCTTTTTTTTGAGCCTTATACCAATATCTTTTATTTATTCTAGATTTTTTGCCTTGATTACAAAATCCATTAATTAATCCCTGCCAATATTTAAAATCCTCTTCTTCTAATCGTATTGGGAGCATCCTAAATAAAAAAGTGATCTTCGGTAATATTTTCATCTTAATTAAAGCGATTCTCCCAAACCATGATAGTTTCAATTTGGCGTACTCTTGCAATTTATCTTTAATTTCATTTTTTAATTTATTAAAATTTTTCTCTTTTAATTTTTGAGTTGTTCTAATTATGTTTATACCTAAATATTTGATAAGATTACACATTTTAACGCTATATTTATTCACAAACATGTCTTGCTCCTGTATATTATAGTTAAACATCATCATTTGTGATTTTTGCCAATTAATCCTTAAACCTGTTATTTCCCCAAATTTTTCTAAATGGTTTTTAATGTTTTCCATACTCTCTAATGGATTTTTAATAGTCAGTAAGGAATCATCAGCAAACAAATTAATTTTAATCATTTCATTTTTACCTGTTCCTTTAATTAATTTATCATTTCTTATTGCGTTAGCTAATAATTCTATAATCATGCAAAACAATATTGGTGAAAGTGGGCAGCCTTGTCTAGTACCTCGGCCTAGAAAGATCTTTTCCGTTATACCATCATTAACTATTATTTCTGAAGTATTATCTAAGTATAATTGATCTATAACACCTCTAAACTTTTTACCAAATCCCCAACCTCTTATAAGAAGTTTTAGTGTTGACCATTCAACACAATCAAAGGCTTTAAATATATCCAATGATAAAATCATTGCTTTTATTTTTTCTTTTTCTATTTCATGTATAATATTTAAAACTCGTCTAGTTAAATTGTCCATTTGTCTACCCTTAATGAAACCACATTAGAAAAATTTGGGGAAATAACAGGTTTAAGGATTAATTGGCAAAAATCACAAATGATGATGTTTAACTATAATATACAGGAGCAAGACATGTTTGTGAATAAATATAGCGTTAAAATGTGTAATCTTATCAAATATTTAGGTATAAACATAATTAGAACAACTCAAAAATTAAAAGAGAAAAATTTTAATAAATTAAAAAATGAAATTAAAGATAAATTGCAAGAGTACGCCAAATTGAAACTATCATGGTTTGGGAGAATCGCTTTAATTAAGATGAAAATATTACCGAAGATCACTTTTTTATTTAGGATGCTCCCAATACGATTAGAAGAAGAGGATTTTAAATATTGGCAGGGAAATCACTAATTTTATGACAGGTGCTAGAATATTAATAGCTAGATTTTGGAAAGACAAGAATGATATTAAAATTGAAGACTGGTATTGTGAAGTATGGGACATTGCATTAAATGATAAATTGACTATGGAACTTAAAATAAAAAGAGGGGAAATAAGATGTAACAATTTCTATGATATTTGGGGTAAATTTGTGGAATTTGTGTTAGTGAAAGGAAGGGGGAAAGCCTCTAAAGAATACTCAATACAATTTTGGAGAGGTAATCTGTAAGAAAAAAATTATTATAGTAAATAGAGTCCCGTGGGTATGGGGTGCACATTAGAATTTAGTTTATAATAAGCACTATTACTTGTATTTTTTTTGTATTTTTGTTGTTATGTATGTGTTCTTTTGTGTATTTTTTTTGTATAAAATAAAAATTAAGTATATAAAAAAAATAAAGTCTTGAAGTCCAAGCTCCAAACTAAGCTCCCGTATTTTTCTGTGAAAAAGACTATACTTCTGTCTAAAACCTTTAGGCTAAAAATTGAGGTTCGTCTTATACATGGAAGTAAGCTGAAGAGAAAAAACTAGTGGAGGGGGGGAAA